GGGGGGGGGGCACAGCTGGGGCCCTGGGGCTGGCTAAGGCTGGGTGGCTGGGCGCTGGCCGGCTGGCAGTGCTGGCAAACGGTAGTTCTACCTGGCAGGGGCGGCGCCCAGCCGCAGCCCTGTTGCGCGCTGCACCAGCCGCCCCCTTTGGCCAGCCAGCCAGCCCACCCCTTCCTCTTGAGCCCACCCCCATCTGCGCCCCTCCTCCTGCAGACGCGGACCGCGAGCTGCGCGCGCTGCTGGGCTACCCGCTGGGCGAGACGGTGGCGGGGGAGGGCGCCAAGGCGGTGCTGGCAGACAACTTCCAGCAGGTGGCGCAGGCGGTGCTGCAGGCGTACGACGGCGGGGAGCTGGCGGCGGCGCTGGCCTCGGGCCACGATGGCTACAAGGTGGGCGGGCGGTGGCGGGCGCATGGCCTGTGGTGCGGGGAGGCGGCGAGGCAGGCCGCGCATGGACGGCGCTTGTGCAGGCAGGCTGGGCGTGAGGCCCGACCGCCCTCCCTCCCGCTGCCCCGCTGCCCTTCCCCCACCGCAGAAGTGGGTGAACAGCGTGGGCAAGGCGCAGGGTCGCAAGGGCAAGCGCCTGTTCATGCCCATGCGCGTCGCCTTCACGGGGCGCATGTCGGGGCCGGATGTGGGGGAGGTGCTGGCCATGCTGGCGCTGGAGGAGGGTGACGTGGCGGAGGAGGGCGCCTACGTGGCGCTGTCGCAGCGCATGGACCAGCTGCGCGCCTGGCTGGCGGCCAACCCCGCGCCGGCGGCCGCGCCAGAGGAGTGAGCAGGGGCCTGCGGGCCTCCCTGCGCCCCCTCCCAGCCTTCCTTCCAGTGCCTCCTCGACTCTGTTTGCGGCCCTCTTTCATCGCTTCTTTCATTGTTTTGCCTTTCAATTTTGCTCCACTGTAACTCGCTCATCACTGTTCCGTGCCCCTGGGTTCAACGCTAGCAGCGGGATGAGGGGCGCCGCACCCCAGCACTCCCGGGCCTGCCGACTCCCGCTGCCACAGCCCGCTTGGTGCTCCCCGCCCTCACATCACAGGCCCTGCTGCTGCCCAGGCTGCGCTGCACTGCTATGCGGTCCTCCTGACCCTGCTGGCCCAGCTCGCCGCCCTGCTGCCTGCCCGCGAGCTGCCCGTCCATGGCAGCCAGAGGCGGGGAGGCGGGCGGGCACCCACGCGCCACCCCCGCCTCCTGCCCTGCCCGCTGCCGCCGCAGGCT